AGTAAATTCATGGTCAGACCTCGAGTCCAGCTTTATAATAATAAAAACCAGTCTGGCTGTCTTCCTAATCTACTGTTACTGGGTTTTTACCTTTCTCCATGTGTATGATGTCACACTCCCTAATGGGGCCAACCAAGTGACATGCTTTTGTTTTCCACTTTGAGTCTTGGCTGCACAGTGTTCTAGTTACAGTACTTCTCTGCCTTCGAGAAGCAAACTCAAAAAACATTAGCGTGCATTGTAGAAGAAGGCTGGATTTGAATTTGAGTAACATGCCCTCAAATGAAAAGGTTCAGGTATACGTGTATTGTTTTCATCAATTTCCAAAAACATGCATTCACAAATCCAGCAGGGGGAACCAGTGTAGAAGTCTTGCTTCAAAGCCCAGTTTATGCATTCTTGAGCAATTAGATTAGCATTCATTTCACTCTCTTTTAGAAGGACAGTTTGGCTGGCTTATAACTTTCCATCCATTTTAAATGCCTCAAATGCATGAGTTCTTAGTGAAACAGTGGGCTTCTACCGGTAGGGGAAAAATAAAATCCCATTACACAGTCACCCATAAGTATTTGATAAGGACAAGCTTTCCTTTTATCAGCCTTGTCTGTCTAGCTAACTTCACAGGAAACACATAAATAATAAAAGTTAAGTAAAGATGGGAACTAAACTTGTGGCTTTTAGAAGGGATTCAAAAGGCTTATAATAAACATTAAAAAACATAAGAAAGTGACACACTATTTTGTTAGTTTAAAAAATGTCACACAGAAGCTTAATTCTCTTAGTTAGTACACCTAAAGTTCACATATTTACTTCAAATAATAAATTCCATAGCATTCATGTGGAGTGTCACACAATACTTTACTTTCCCATGCTCTAAAACCCAGTTATCTGTGAGAATTCTAGTGATTGCATCATTTTTGTTTCTTTAGTATTAGTACCCTGATCCTCACTGTTTCAACCTGTATATAATGAGCATAAACTATATGCAAGATATTTCAGAAATTTTACAGGAGTAAAAATAAGAT